GTCTACGTCGATGGCTACCCGTCAAGGCACCATACCAATGGCAGCTCATCAAGTTTGTATGCAACTTTGGCTTGCTGCGTCGCTACTTTCAGATTCGTTGGCAATAGCTGTCCAGGTAGAAACAATTGGAGTTCAAAATTTCTAAGTAGCTAACCCGTAGCTTTTCAGGCTCTTCTAGCTGGTGCATTTGCAAAGAGAGATTATAGACGGGCTAAACTGGTATCCTATCGTGTCTTGCAAGTATGTCAATCTGCTTGGCTTTTTTTAAAATATTTTTTCACCTTTTCTCTTTTCTTACACTTTCGTAGATGGGCTTTTCTTTGGGAATTCTAATGACCACAATCCTCGGTACATCGTCCAGTATTTTATCTAAGCTGTTCACCAGCGATATAGGGGTGCTCAAAGTGATGTCTACGATTATGCCAGTAAGCTTTTCTTCTTTTCCTACAAGAGATACATTGTCTATTTTTGTAGTTCGTTGCTTTGACGCAACCGATCAATTCGCTTGCTTTTGTTTTTGATGGGATTCACTATGGTGCTTCCGATTTCAGATACTCGACATATGCAATGGTAAGATTGTACTTGCTATGTCTACATTTCTATTCTCTTTTTGGCAGATGTCAAACGCACTAGTTTCTTCAGCTGTTTTACTGTTGGCTCCTAGGAGGTTCGGACTTCCAGGAGTCTGGATGGGCCTGACGCTTGTCATGGCTTTGCGAGCTGCTGCTGGATTTTTGAGGTAATTAGATGGTCTTACTACCAGTTTAAAGTTTTTGACCGATGCAGGCTAACGTTCGCAACGGGACCATGGTCATTTCTGAGAGACAAATGGGAGGAACGAGCCTGAGACAAGTTCCTCTCGTGAGAATGTGAAGAGGCTCTTTTTCATTTTATTACTTAACGCGCATTTTTTTACGTAACGAACGACTGGCAGTTGCACAAGGAGCCCAGTATGAAGTCTCATGTCATAACATTGCTCGGATTTAGGTTTCTGTTGTCGACCACGATGCAAAGGCTGGACTCCAACGTTGAGGAACAGATGATCGCGAAGGCTATTGAAGACGAGGCTAACTGGGACAAGCTTCCAAAGCGGCTCAAGCTCTATCTTCAATCTAGCGAAGAATGGCACAAAAAGTAAGCTCGTTAATTCTTTGATTCACTAACATTCTTAGCTTTCAGGATAAAAGACTACTGCATCAAAAATCGTTTGAGGTGGAGCGAGTCTCTTGCCAAAAACACTTGCAAGGAAAGTGATTATTACGACGAGCTGATGCGCTATCTTCGTCGAAATTCTGCGGTACATCTCCGTCGTTTTTCTCGATTTCGTTTTTAACTTTTGATTCTTGACAGCTCTTTCCATATCATTTATCCGATTACGTCTGCCGTATTCTTCGAGTTTCTCCGTTCCAACACTACTGTGATATGCTCTATGAAGCTTTGAAAGATGGTATGGTTTGCAGCCGAGGTCATCTTCTTTATAACCTTCTTGTCATTTCCATCAGAAAGGCCTTACGATTCTATTCCGAACTTCAGTGCTGCTGATGCGTTGCGGGTGACTGGAATTGGACGCAACGAGTACATAGATGTCTTGAATAAATGCAGAGCAAAGGTAATTCTTTTTATTGTTTTGCATAGACTTTAAATGTCCCTTGCTTCCAGAAAATTATGTGGAGAATTAATAAGTCTTTTGCTAAAGATTTACTGCCTTCTGAGCCGGCCGACATTTGTATTGAAGCTTGGTGGATTATCAACGTTGTGAACCTCTCGCAAGATGAGATAAGGGTGAAGTTCTTCGATTGCACCAATCAGCTAATGAAATTTACAGACGCTCTATCTTACTTTTAGGAACTTTGAATTGTACGTCTATTCAAACAGAAACTCTCAGAAGAGGAGAGCATTCTGGTAGAGAAAGTGTGCGAGGATGATGTTGCTCGGTTTGGAGAGCATGATCCTTTCATTGTACGTGGTCTCTATCGTAGAGGTTTTGTGTATTTTGACGTGCCGGTATCTCCTGACGATCACTTCCAAGGTTGTTAATCACATAGTTCTTTCTTCTGTTGTAATCTGAATTTCCGCAGTCTTAACTTTGGAGGGATTTGTTTCAAACCAGAACCAAAATTACGAGGATCCCACTGAAGAGTAAGAACTTGTTGCTTATTTATTACTGAAACTTATGGCGGTTTTCACTCCAGACTTCTCTACGCAGTTTTCATCACTTCAAGCGAGCATGCTACTATTGCTGAGCTCGCTTCAACATTACAGGCTGACTTTTCCAAGCTGGAAGCAGCCGTGTCTTTAGCCGCTCGTCTTGGCTGGGCAAAGAAAAGAGTTGATCCCGCAGCTCTTCTAAGTGATCCCAACGAGCCAGGATCTCCATCTTCTGATTTTGGAGACGACGATCCTACAGTTGCTTTAAGCCCTGTTCATCGTCCTTCTGAGAACCAGGGAGAACCGAGTACCAGCGACGCTCCCACGGAACTCCCTGGAGTTGTACGTTTCGCATTCTTGGTGGATGCCGACCTGACCTCTTACCTCATGATGGGATCTCTCTCGCCTCGTAAGCATCAGTGTCAATTTGGTACGTTGATACTTACTTCTCTCGCGAAGCAGGGCTGAAAGGTCATGCAGTAACACTTTACGAAGCTGGAAAGTTAGGAGACTCACACGTCATCGAAATGTGTGAAGATTTACGTAAAGTTGAAGGGACCGAGTGTGAAGGCGAACTTCAGCATTTCGCAGACCATGCCTTTAGCTTGCGGCATGCACTGGAGTGCCTCCGTTCTGGCGGCTCGGGCATCCTGGACGATGTCTCGTTTAACAAGGAGAATTTTGACAACGCGAAGAAGGTCCGAGTCGACGTTGTCCGCTGTGAGAGCTTGTCCGGGTTGGCAGCGGCAACCATCCAACGAGTCTTCCGCCGGGACTACGACGTCATCGTCTCAATGATACCGCTACCATCGCGTCCTGCCGTTATCTCATCAGAGGGAGGCGGACCCGTTCACTTTGGACCTCCTTCACGAGCTGCGACGACACCATGGATGAAGTTACTCCTGTACAGCGTTGCGGGAGCCGGGCCTGTCTCGGTGGCTTTGATACGGGGGCAGCGACTTAGAATGCTTCCAGAGTCTCTCTCGCGGTGTTACAAGGCGCTGGTGTGGACTTGGGGGGATGGGACTGCTGCTGGAGGACCAGGTGGTAAATTCGAGGGAACTCTGGTAGAAGGTGGAGTTCTCCTTCACGTAGTGAACACTCTCCTCAAACACTCGGCAGTGGTCGTCCAACCTTACTCGAAGGAGTCCTTCCAGGGTGGTGAAAAGGCCGAACTTGTTACAAAGGACATCGCTCTGCCACTCTACAAACCGGACTCGGCCGGACAAGCTCTAAGCCAAGCGGTGAAGGAACTCCACCTCAACACCATGGGATACGTTCGTCTGGTTAGTGTAGTTTCTGAGACCACCACCAGCGGCAGTGGAGCACCGGTCTGGCAGTGGGTTCCTCAGAGCATCGAGTTTGGCCTTCCGCTATTCAACACCGCGCTGTGCAAGCTCGTCTGCGAGGGGGTCGTCAAGTGCGGACTCTTCGACTCTGATGCTCTTGCTCGGCACGACAGGGAAATGTGGCAGCTCCATTCCAAGCTCCAGGACTTTATAAGCGACTACCAAGCCGATGGCCCAGTGTCGAGGTTGGCTTACTCCGCGGTCCAGGAAACGCCCAGTTTAAGCGAGAGTCCCAGGAGCACTACCTCGCGTTCCAGTTCCACCCCGCTGATGAGAAGGCTCCAGTCGGAGAAAGGAAGCATCGATGAGAACACTATGAGGTACTAGCAAGTTTTTCTCTTGTCTAAGAGATGAGAGCTTGTATGCGTGGTCTCTTATAGGACGTATACGCTTTCGGCTGGAGAGGACCAATTCTCGCCATCTCCAAAGGGAGCAGTGACGATGTTTGTGGAGCAAGACGAAGACGAGATAGTTCCACTCCCTGGTGTCAATCTCGTGTTTAATGGCTCGTGGCTTGCGGCCTTGGATATCAGTCCCTGTTTGCAAGGCAAGCTTCCGGCAAGTTTACTCGTGAGCACTGGCTAGTCTCTGATAGAACCAAAGATCTTTTCTCCTTTAGAGTCGCTTCTAGAATATACCACTGCCACCATGACTATGATCGCATTTATACAACCAATGCTACATTTCAAAAGAAAATGGAGGGTTTAGGGCTAGGTCAAGCGATGGTGGACGCGGGCGGGGGATTACGAGTCCAGCTCCAGCACGTCGCGGATCCAGTCTTCTCGGCTCTCCAATCCGATCGCAACAGGATTCTGGTGAGTTCTTCGCGATCTCAGCTCAGGCCAATCGGTGGGAAATATTTCCAGGATGTTTTCAAGCAAGCGATCTCGCACTCGTCGCCTGCTGCGTCGGTGGCGCTAGCGACGATGCAGGAGGCGATGAAGCCCCAGAAGCACGCCGTGTTGGTCCAGGACGAGAATCAGCTCCTGGAAAACGCATTGCGCTTGCTGCTCCAAGAACTTGTGGTACGCATCTTCGTCTTACATTGATGTTTGTACTGTTTTTTTTCTTGGCAGGGCGCTGCTGTGGATGCCGGGGAGCCCGTAATGCAGTATGGGCGTTCTATAGACGACTCGGACAACAGCGGTGGATTGATCACCAGGCTCCTTGGTCGGTTATCCTCTTCCTCTTTTCTTTCGTGCTCCTTACTTACTGTTCTTATACCCCCAGACATCGTGTTGTATCTCTGCGAGAAGACCCATGTTGAGGGAGGCATGGTTTTCCAGCTGCTAGAGGACTTAACAGAAGTATCGACTATCAAAGATTGTAAGGAAGTTTTTGCCTACATCGAGGGGAAACAGGAAGTTCTTGGAAAGGTATGCTTTCTACTTCGTGCGACTATGTAAGTAAGTTGTGGATGATCCAGACAGAATTGTTTGGGCGGGGGAAACTGGTCATGTTGAGAACTTGCAATCAGTTGCTAAGACGACTTTCAAAGGTTCAGACTGGGCGTTTTTCTTTTCTTCGTGAGGCTAATTTACATATTGCAGGCGAATGATGTTGTATTTTGCGGCCGAATCCTTATGTTTCTTGCACACGTTTTTCCTCTCTATGAACGATCAGGTGATTTTTAAAATTTTAACTTAAGGCCGCAGCTACTTAAATGTGGATTTCAGCTGTAAATATTAAGGGTGTATTCAATACCTCTAACGAAACAAACTATGAGAAAGACCAACCTGACGGTACGCCAACTGATGGTTCCAACCTCATGTTCTGTTTTTTATCTTTTTTCTCCATAGATGTGCCTATTGATTTCAACTTTTACAAGACTTTTTGGGGACTTCAGGTGCAGATTTCTCGTTAAAGTTTTTTGATATCCTCTTATTTTTCCTTCTCAGGAACACTTCTCTAACCCCGCAGCACTGATCCCAAGATGGCATATCTTCTCTGCAAGTTTAACTGTCAGTTCTTTCTGGACTATGAGTTTGCGCAATGTGACCGAAATTTTTCTTGCAGATTGTTTTGAGCGCCTTTGATGCGCAGCCTTTGGGAGATGATGATAGCACTTCCCACCAGCTTGATGAGGGCGATGACATGACCTTTAATACGAAGTATCTTACCAGTTGTAATTTGATGTCTCTCGAGGTAAGATTCAGCTTATACGTGTACTGCTATAAAGTCTTTGGTAACAGCTTAAAGATCCCAGTTTTAGGAGACATGTACTTGTACAGTGCCTGATTGTTTTTGACTATTTGAAGGTAAGCTCAAAACAATATGCATCTTGTCCGACTAATAATTTGATTTAAACAGACACCCGGTAAAACGGAAAAAGAAGCAGCAAGAGAAAGTCTGGTATATTTCTATAATTTGTCATTATGGGTATTCAATTTTTTTTCTCGCAGAAAGATGAAGTAAAGGTTTTGGAAGATCGCGTGAAGCGTCTTTTAGAATCTACTCCTCCTAAAGGAAAAGATTTCTTGAAGAGCATTGAGCATTTACTTGAACGTGAAAAAAACTGGGTAAGCAAGTTATTGTTTACGAGTAAAGTCAGCTCATGCACTGTTTTTGCTTAGGTCTGGTGGAAACGCGATGGTTGCCCACCATTTGAAAAAAACGTTTCTGAACGCAAATCGTCTATTGAAGGGACTAAAAAGAGGTCTGCGAGAAGTTCCTGTTACTCTCACTAAATAAAACTCTACCACAGGAAGCAGCGATGGAGGTTGGGAAACAAGGAACTCTCACAGCTGTGGAAATGGGCGGATCAAAATCCTGTATGTGTCACTCGAGTTTAATATACAGTTCTGACGCATGTTGCAGAATGCTCTGACTGATCCACAGCGAGTGAAGACGCCTCCAGTTCACGAGTATTGGACTGCTTTGGCTGAGGATGTAAGCAGCTTTCAAACTTTGTCCGGGTTTAGATAATGCCTGACTATCTGCAGATGGATCCTATGTCTGGTATTGAAGCGGAATACAGTCACAAAAACGATAAGGTATACCTCCGTGAAGAAGGAAACTTTCGTAATAGTGGCATTCTATTCAGGTCTACTGTTGGAAAGGCTTAAGATTCTCGGCAAGGCAGGATTTGGAAGGATTTGCAAGGGTATGCAGTATGCATGTTCTATTTTTCTCTCTAATCCTTCCTCTTTTACCTGGTCAGTTCACTGAGCTAGGAATCGAAGGTGTTGTGCCGCCTGAGCTACTTACCCAGGAAGTTCGGCTTAAAGTTCATGGGAAGTCGGACAAGTCAAAGCAAAAGGCAGCAAAGAAAGGTGACGACGCCGCAACAGTTCCTCCTTCGGAAGAAAATCAGGTTCTTTCAATACTTCAGTTTAAACGAATGGAAGCGACCTTTATTTAATTGCAGAATGGGAGTGTAGCTGTTGACGATGGAGGTGCCGCACAAGATGTTGACGACGTGATTCCGATGGACTCGGATGTCGCAGGAGCCAAAGAAGAAGAGTCTCAAGACGACCTCGAGAGGCAGGGATCGGACCACGAGCCGCTGGAGGGCTTTCCTTCCACTCAAGACATTTCTCCGGATCCTCCGGCCGCCATGGACAATGATTCACCTGGAGCTAGAAGTCCGGGGGAGGGCCAGAGGTACTTCAAGAAGCATTCCCACCCGGAAGGCGACTAAAAACTGCTACATCTCGGCACACTAGAGCTACATTTTGACGCGAGAAGCCGGTATTAAATGACCGCCCGGCTTGCACCAACCTTTCAGAAGTTCCGGCAAATCATGCAGCTATGGCGACTCCTATTCCCCGCTGGTGCTGAATCTCTTTTTCACGTCAAGGCATGGATCGTCGAATGGAGACGTGCTTTCTCTAAGCGCTGCAAACTCCGTACGTTTGCATTCTCCATTTCTTTTTAATTCTTTTCCATCGTGTGCTTTGATTTAATCGGCTTGTCGTCCTTGGCTTGCAGAACTGTATTTGTACTTTTCAAGTGCTGGATCATGGATGGACGCTGTTATGGAGTGTTGAGATACCGCATCCCTGTGTAAGCCGAGCTTCTCTGGAATTTCTTAGTTATTTTCTTAACTTGACTTTACATGTCTCACTTTTGTTTTTCTCCTTTCTCTTCTGTTCGCTCGTCCGTGGGTTGCCAGAGCTAGCTGTGTCGTTGACAAGAGTTTCGCTCCGGTCGCGCAAGATCCAAAAGCTCTCCAGCGTAAAGCTGGCTAGCAATCGCTTTCGAGCGAAGTGATCTTCGCTAGGATGGTCCGAGCAAAGGAGAAGACCAAGAAGAAGGAATTACTCTCAGCTTTGCTCCTTCGCATCATACATCCTTTGTGGGTGGGACAAGACGTTGGAGCTAAGCTGCCATACAGAGAGAATGGATGCGGCGTGTGACGAAATGGAGCACTATGGAGAGCTTCATGGCTCTTTCTCGGGGCCAAGAAGAAGAAAGTGGTCAAGTTGCCCGTTTCTCTTGGACGATATACACGATAGGAATGATGGAATGGCAAAGCTTTTCAAGTGGAGTCAGGATGGCCGAGTTGGTCTAAGGCGCTAGTTTCAGGTACTAGTCCGCAAGGGCATGGGTTCGAATCCCATTCCTGACAAATAGCTTTTTCCCTCTTTTCCTTGTTTTTTTTATAAAAGTTTTGGATCCAATCTTTGTACCTTAGCCAAGAATTGCTGGCTTTTTTTTCTTCAATGTAGCGGATCATCAAAGTTTTGTCATACACAAACACATGATCTATCTTTTATTAAAATCATCGCTGGCTGGCGTACATGGTCTTTGGCTTGAAGGGCTGCGCTTCTAGAAGTCCTCGAGGGATGAAAATCGCCAGGGACGACACTGCCAAAGTCATTGTTTCGTCCTTGTTAAACTTCTAGTCCATCCCGCCCGCCCGCCCGCCCCGCCGTGTTCTTGGCTCGTCAGACAAACGCAAGCGCGATGCAAAGATCTTGGCGGGGTCTCGAAATGATTTCAATGATTTCGTTTCCTCTCGGTGGTGGAGGGACAAATCAATCACTTCCAATCGATCGATCGGGATCGAGATCCATCCGCGCACGCCAGTGTGTTTGATCCTCCTAGATTGACCGGACACCACCACGCCACCACCGCAACACCGCCATCTCCATCTCCAATCCAGCTGCGAGCCACGATCGAGAGCAAAAAATTCGAGCCACTGGATGGAGTGGACCACGCCAACTCGCCAAGTGACCATTCCAGGGTGCGTTGACTGGAACTCTTCCGGCGCATCGCCCAGTAGCACTCTAGTTCCTAGGGGTTTGACCACAGCCGGAGAAACGTTTGACCGGGCAAAGTCAACGACCAGCCAATTCTAGAATCCGCATATTCGCGGCATTTACGAAGCCAACACCGTCAAAGCGGCGCGTTCCTCTTCACACAAGAGCAAAGGTGCGTTGCTTTTCTTTTCTTTTTTCCCTCCTCCTCTTCTCCACCTCTTCTAAAACCTATTTCTATGAGCGTTCCAGCGGAGGGCTCAATTCTCCGCCACTCCTGGAGCTCGAATTCGCGATCGAGCTCGATTCTCCTCCACCACTGCATGGGCGCTTTAGGCAGATCCCTTTTCCCAAGGATTGGAGGCTAGACTCTCAAAAGGAAGTGAGTGGAGGAGCTCGGACTCCACCTCGGACACCGGGGGCACCGACCTCGGGCACCCGGCTACGCGCTTTTGCTTAACATTCTTTCTTTTATCTTTGCTTTGGTATCTACTTACGGCCACCATTCTCCATTCTTCCTCCTCTCCGTGTGAGCACGGGAAGCATCCGGGTGGTGATGAGACGAAGAAAAAAGGAGGAGGAGCCACGACTGTAGCGCAGAAACTCTTCTTTTCTTGGTAGATAGATCGATAGATCGATCTTGGTAGATTGCGACCTTTCCAGTGGAAGAAATTTCCACAGCGTGGATTTTTCTTTGGCGGCCGGTTTGATTGATTGCAATGAGACAGGGAAGATCCAGCCACCAAGCACAAGAGCTCTCGATTCATCCCAGCTATGGAGGCCGAGGAGGAGGAGGAGGTGGAGGGGGAGCTCACATCGCCACAGTGCCACTGCGATGGGACCAGGCGCTGGATCACAGCAGTGGCGGTGGCGCCATCGCCCAGCACCACTTCGTGGAGGTGACGCTGGATGTGCGCGACGACTCGGTGAAGCTGAGGAGCGTGAATCCCACCATCGCCGCCGCCGCGGTGCAGTGTAGCGGCGGCGGCGGCGAGGAGCACCCCGAGAGGAACCTCCTCGCGCCCGCGCCGGTGGCTGCGCTGGATCACCAGCAGCACTGGGCGGACAAGAGATCGCTGCGCAGCTCGCTCAAGCGCACCGCCTCCAACACGTCCAGCCGGATGAAGCAGCTGTCCCAGGAGCTCAAGCACGCGGCCGCGCGCGTCCTCTCCTCGCGATTCAACCCCGACGCCATCGCCGCCGCCACCGCCGCCGCGACGAGCTCCTCGAGCAGCGGTGGTGCGCATGCTGGCTCTTCGCGGCCCAGGTACCTCTCGCGATCCAAGTCGGGCGCCGAGAACGCGCTCCACGGGCTGCGATTCATCACCAAGGCCGGCGCCAACGCGGCCGATCGATCCGCGCTGTGGAAGAGCGTGGAGGAGCGATTCGACAAGCTGGCGTCGCCCGAGGGGCTGCTCAATCGCGGCGATTTCGGGCAATGCATTGGTAAGAGAGATCCTTCCTTCTCCTTTCTCCTCTCTCCTTTCTTCCTTCTTGGATCGATTGATCGATAGATGGGTTGCAGGGATGAAGGACTCCAAGGAGTTTGCGGGCGAGCTCTTCGACGCGCTGGCGAGGAAGAAGGGGATGACCAACGCGGAGCAAATCTCCAAGAGGGATCTCTACGAGTTTTGGCTCCAGATCTCGGATCAGAGCTTCGATGCGCGAATGCAGATCTTTTTCGACATGTAAGGATGGAAATCTCTCTTCTCGCAGCTGTTCTTGAGCTCTTTCTTATGTGTTCTTCTATCCAGGTGTGACAAGAATGCCGATGGCCGGATCTCCGAGGAGGAAGTCAAGGAGGTAAGCTAACGAGACCCAATTGCGAGCTCTCTCACGATTCCATCGATCCAGGTGATCATGCTCAGCGCCTCCGCCAACAAGCTCTCCAAGCTCAAGGAGCAAGCCGAGGAGTACGCCGCGCTGATCATGGAGGAGCTCGATCCCGACAACTTGGGCTACATCGAGGTGAGCAATCCATCCAGCCCATCCCATCCGATCCATGCAATCTCCCAGGATCGATCGATAGATCAAGAACCAAGTACCAAGAACCAATCGTTTTCTTGTTCTTCCTTCTTCCAGCTATGGCAGCTAGAACAGCTGATGCGAGGAGCGCCGATCGGGGGCTACAGCCGCGATCTCCAGCAGCTCAACTACAGCCAGACGCTGGTGGCGCCGCGGCGGCGGAATCCAATCCGCGCCTTGTCGCGCACCACCAGGAACTACGTGAGCGAGCACTGGCAGAGGATCTGGGTGGTGTCGGTGTGGCTGGCGGCCATGGTGGCGCTCTTCACCTGGAAGTTCGTGCAGTACAAGAACCGTGCCGCGTTTGAGATCATGGGCTACTGCGTGTGCGCCGCCAAGGGAGCCGCGGAGACGCTCAAGCTCAACATGGCGCTCATCTTGCTCCCGGTTTGTAGGAACCTCATCACCACCTTGCGATCGACATGGCTGGGCCTCGTCGTCCCTTTCGACGACAACATCAACTTCCACAAAGTAAGTCACCCATCGTAAGTTCTTTCTTTGATTGCTCGATCCTTCGTGTCCTTGCTTCCCATTTTCTTGGGGCTCTTGCTTGTCTACTGTTCTTCGCAAGCTTCCAGATTTTTCCATTTTCTTGCGACTCCTTTGCGGATGTGTTCTTCAAGGTCGTCGCAAGTTTCCAGAGTTTGTGTGTTTTACTTTGCATTCTTCATGGGTGGCAAACTCTCTTTCCTCGCTCTGAAAGCTTTGAGCGATCTCTTTGCATGGCTGCATTTGCTTCCATGAGGTCGTCGAGTTTTCTTTGCCTTTGTTCTTCACAAACCTCTCTTCTCTCCTCTCTCCATTGTCGTGCAAGTTCCGATTTTGAGTGTTTTTCTTCGCATTCTTCATGTGTGTTACTGGCAAAGTCTCTCGTTTCCTTCGCTCTGCTTGATCAATCTCTTTGCGAAAGTTTTACTTTGCCTTCGTTCTTCGCAAACTAGGCTTTTGAGAAACTTGCCTTCGTTCTTCGCAAACTGCTCTTTCTCACACCTTCCAACGTTTTACCAGGCGATTACTATCGGGATTGCTTTCGGAGTTATCATCCATGGCGGTGTCCACCTTGCCTGCGACTTCCCCCGGATCGTGCAAGCCTCGGACGAGGATTTTAACGCCAAGATTGGCCGCGGCTGGCACTACGAGAAGCCGAGCTACATGGACATTGTCAAGTCGGTGACGGGGATCACCGGGATCATCATGGTGGTGCTCATGATCATTGCCTTCACGCTCGCCACCCGCTGGTTCCGCCGGAGCCTCGTTAAGTTACCATGGCCCTTCCATCGCCTTACTGGGTTCAACGCCTTTTGGTACTCGCACCACCTCTTTGTCATCGTCTACGTCTGTCTCATCGTCCACAGCTTCAAGCTCTTCTTGAGCTTCAAGTTCAAGGATAAAACCGTAAGTTTGTCCATCTTTCTTCCTGCTTGTGGATGAACTTCATCGATCCTATCCATCTTTCTTCCTGCTTTGGTTGTTTTTTGTGTTTGGTTGCTCGTTTGTTTCCATTGATTCGCTCGCGCTTTTTTCTTTTTTCTTCTTTTTTCTTCGTCATTTCGATCGTAATGCGTTGGATTCTTCCTTGCATCGGATTCCACCACTCACTACAGTTGTGTGCTTTCTTTTTTGAGCTCCCAGACTTGGATGTACCTCAGCGTGCCGTTGCTTCTTTACACCGGGGAGCGAACTTTGAGATACTTTCGATCAGGGAATTACTCTGTACAGATTCTCAAGGTACGTGAGTAACTTGAGTAGAGAAAGAAAAGATTGATCAAGCCGTGTTCCTCTTTTTTTCTTTTTTTTATGGTTGCAGGCTGCGATCTACACTGGAAACGTATTGGCTTTGCACATGACGAAGCCACCTGGGTTCAAGTATAAAAGCGGCATGTATCTCTTCCTTAAATGCCCAGCAATCTCACCGTTCGAGTGGTAAATTTCTTCTCCTTCCTTTATTTTTCTTGCTCGTCCCACCAGTTCCATAAGACTCTTGTGTGTTTTTCTTGTCTGGGCATTTATTGTCCGTCCAGGCATCCGTTTTCCATAACCTCCGCCCCTGGAGACGACTTCGTGAGCGTACATATCCGAGTTCTTGGCGACTGGACGCAGGAGATGAAGCGAATCTTCTCCGAGGTAAAGTCATCGTTAAGTTGATGCAAGCTTTGCTTCATCTTTTTTCTCGTCTCACTGCAGGTGTGTGAGCCACCGATTGGAAACAAGAGTGGCCTTCTCCGAGCCGAGTACATCGTTGGCGCGGCGTCGCGGAACAAGTTTCCAAAGCTGTTGATCGACGGGCCTTACGGAGCTCCGGCGCAGGACTACCGGAAGTACGATGTGTTGCTACTGGTCGGACTGGGCATTGGAGCCACCCCGTTCATCAGCATCCTCCGGGACATGCTCAACCACATCAAAACTTCCGACCACCCATCGCCAAGCGACTCCGTCCACATTGACATGATCCGGGCCATGGAGAGCCCGCGGAGGCGAAAGAGGCGAGGCCCGACCAACGCTTACTTCTACTGGGTGACGAGAGAGCAGGGATCTTTCGACTGGTTCAAAGGCGTGATGAATGAAGTTGCCGAGATCGATCAAAAGGTGGTTTTTTCTTTCGAGACTTTGTTTCTCACTATTATCATCTTTCTCTTCAGGCTGTGATTGAGATGCACAACTATTTGACGAGCGTTTACGAGGAGGGCGACGCAAGGTCTGCGTTGATCACCATGGTCCAAGCTCTCCACCATGCCAAGAATGGTGTGGACATTGTCTCGGGAACCAGAGTAAATAGTTTTTCCCTTTGCTTCCTCTCTCGTGATGGTTTTTGATGATTGTTTTGCTCTCTTGTGCTAGGTACGCACGCACTTTGCCAAGCCAAACTGGAGGAAAGTATTCTCCAGGCTCGCAAGCACGCATCCGGATTCTAGAATTGGTAAGAGTTTCTCGCTTTGAAAGTTCTCTCATAGTTAGAAAGCCAAGATCTAAAGATCGAGCTCTCTGTCGAATCCAGGTGTATTCTTTTGCGGATCGTCTCTTCTGGCCAAAGAGCTGGACCAGATATCGCGCGAGTACACGTATCAGACGAGCACCAGATTTGAGTTCCACAAAGAACACTTCTAAAAGAAGGAAGCAAAGGCGAAAGCTTTGTGTATAGAGATACAGCACACGCATACACACAATTATTTACGAAGGAGCGAACAAAGCAACACTCCTTTTCAGTCGAAAAACGATCGACACTCGATGTACAGAAGTACCAACATCGCAGAAAAAGAATTTTGTAAGTCAAAGGGGACTCCTTTTTTCTCTCTCGAGTTTATAGTCCATGTAGAATTGAGTCGAATTGTTTTGCAAGGTACGCTCTTTTTTCTTGCTTTGTTTCTAAAGTCAGCTCGGGCTTGTTCTTCCAGGATCGAGTCAAATTGGCTGCTGCGAATACGATCCATCTTTTGTCGTCTCCAGTTCGTTTCTAGCTGTAGAAACACGGAGAAAAGAAGCGAACGCGCACACAGCGCAGTGTTATGAAGAACACGACGCGATGGGCAGAAAGAACAGGAACGTTCTTTTTTTTCTTTTCTTTTCTGCTTTATTTAACAATATTGTTATTCTTTACTAATTCCTTTCATGGGGAATAACTATTCTTAAAATCCTTTTTCTTTTTCTTTGTATACTATACATTACAAGCTGCATCATGCACTTCAGTAGTACAAAAGCTGTACCAAAATGTAGTACATGCAAACTGTCAAAACACGTACGAATCCGTGAAATTGGGATCAAAGAGTACGCCAAAGGAGAGAAACCATGGCTTTTTTTATACAAAAATCCTAGATATTAGATGTAAACACTCTTGGCTTTTGATAAAATCTTCTATATATTAAAACCATGTAAATGTTTATTTAATTTGTACTTGCAAGCACAAGCTTGTCTATACCAGGAACTGAAAGGCCACAAGGAGTAGCGCGAAAGCTCCTATGGCGGTGGTGGTGCTGCTGGCGATGGCTCTAGAATTAGGGGCTGGAGCTGGACCATGGTGGTGCATGCCCGGCCCCGGTGCCATTGCCGGGCCGTGGTTGTGGCCTTCGTGAGCCAAGACCATCGCCATCACCAACAGGAGCTGGAAAAGCACGAGCTTGATCCTCCAAGAAGCAGCCATGGCGTGAGGGGAAGAAGAATCGATCGACAAGTCCCTCGAGGAATTCCCAGGCGCGATTGATCGATCGATCGAGGAGCGAGAAGCGAGAACTAGCGGAGGGACGCTCTACCTAGAACCAACTAAAATGTCAATGCACACAAAGGAGAGCCCGTCCAGGGGTTTTATCTATGGGGAGCGAATGGATCGTGCATCCCCAAGTTGACTCATTCCTTTTTTAGGGCAACATGGCTGGGGTGACACATGGACTGCCAGCTCCGCGCCACGTGGCACTTGGGTTTCTATAAAAACCCAAAACCTCTCTCTTCTTCTTCTTCTTCTTCTTCGAGTTTCTTGGTTTCGCTTGGATGAAGATGAAGGCGAATCGTGTGGAAATCGCGGCGCTACTGCTGGTGGTGCTCGTGGTGAGAGTGGCGATGGCGACGCCGGCTCCAGCCCCGGGTCCTCATCCTCACCATGGCCCCGCGCCGGGCAGAGCGATCTCGGATGCAACTGGATCATCGCCCTCGGCGACCCTGCTGCTAGCGCTGCTTGCCGCGAGCTTCATCGAATTCTTCGCGTTGGTCCTGTGAAGACGCGATGTAGAAGAGAATTGTTTCGTAGAGATTGTGCTGTATAACTTCGATCTAGCTCACATTAATCTCTCAATAAATGGAAGAACTTGTAGCGAGAAAGCATCGATCGATAATTCCAGAATCCGAGTCCAATCGAGCGAAGGATTTTCAACTCACGCGGAGAAATTGGTTTGAAAATTTGGGCTCGCGTCGCCATTTCAAACGATTCCCCTGGAATATGTCTCGTACGGACTCTCCTTGCTTGTCAATCCACATTCATTTATATGCTACCTAGCGAGGAACCAAGAACACCCCCAAGCAAGCGGCAATCAACAGCGCTGGCACTGCGAGAAAATTCGCGTCGCCACCGGTCTCCAGCGCAGGGAGGAAGCTCGGAGCGGGAGCGATGGAATCCTCCTCGGCAAGTGGCTCGTCCAGAGCATTTGCAGCGAGGATCCACGAATTCATCACCAAACTGGCCATGATCGCCAGCGGCAGCAGCAGCAGTGGGGTCGCTGGAGCGAACTTGGTCATCTTCGGGGGCTTGGATCGTCAAACGCGCCCAGAAGATCAATTAATTCCCCAGCAGCGATGGATGGATCGATCGAAAGAAAGAATTGTGGAATGCTGTTCTGGGCGAATGAGTGTGAGAGCTTTGAATTTATAGTGTGGAAAGCTTGGCCAACCACGTTTGTCCCGAATGGACGGAGAGGATCGCATCGCGTGCGGCCGTCCATTCGCCGCAAATCGCGGCCTCTATAACGGCCTAACCTTTATTGCCGACGTGGAGCCGTCGTGCTTTACACGTCACTGATCCACCAACGTGGCAAGAGCCGGCTTTACCAGCATTGCCCTAAGAACTATCGTGGCGTGCACTCGTACGCGGGAATCCGATGTGGCGGATAGCGTGTCACCACACGTGGAGGGGCCAATTTTTGGCGGAATATACCCCGCAAACCGCCATACAGAGCGCTCCTGGGTTTATATATAAAAGGGCCCCCCATGCTTTCGTTGGCATAGGTTTCCTAGGCTTCTTTCTTGGTCGCTTCGCTTGCTCACTCGCAAAAGCTGCTAGATCGATCGCGATGGCGCACAGATTTGCCGAAGTGGTGGCGCTGATCGTGGCCGCGGTGATGGCGTCGGCGGTTTCTTGCGCCCAGGCCCAAGCCCTCAGCCCAGCTCCAGCTCCAGAAGAGGGGGCAGGGTTTGCGCTCGCTCCGGCGGTGGCGGTGATCGCAGGGATGAGCGCCCTCTCCTTCTTGTTCGCGAGGATGTGAAGATCTTTCTAGCGGCGGCTATGGCGGTGGGACTTCTTCTTCTTGAATTACGCTCTACATTTTGGTGCCGCCGCCGCTGGCCGCAAGATTGTGACGACCGACTGATCTATGTAGCGAGGAATTTTTTGGCTTGTTTTTCTGTTTGTAGTGTTGTGTGATTTCTCCGAAGAGCTCCTCCCCTGTGACTGGATTCTTTTTGGAATAAAATATATACCTTTCTCGGTTTCTCCGGATGTAAAGAGAAGGGTGTCTGTCTCTCTCTTTTTAGGGTTCTTCGTGGCTATGGCGGACGAGATGTTCCTGGCAATGCCGCTCCAATCGCTGGTTGGGGGGTCTAGCGCGCTGGAAAATCTCTCGGGAGGGGGCAGGAAGGGCGGGAAGAAGGATGATCGCATCCCGCAGTGGGGATTCAACGAGACGAGGGATCTGATTAGGATCCGCGCGGAGCTGGAGAAGGATTTCACGCAGACGAAGCGCAACAAGACGCTGTGGGAGCTCATCGCGGGCAAGATGAAGGACAGGGGCTACCGGCGAAGTGCCGACCAGTGCAAGTGCAAGTGGAAGAATCTCGTCAATCGCTACAAGGTTTGTGCTAGGATAGCTGGAGATTCGATCTGATCGGTCGGTGGGTCGCGATCTTTCTAGGGAAAGGAGCTCTCGGATCCAGAGAATGGCCGCCAGTGCCCATTCTTCGACGAGCTAGACTCGATCTTCAAGGCCCGGCTCAAGAACGCGGGTTCCAAGCTCCTGCTCGAGTCGGATGGATTGATCCGGCCAAAGAAGCGGACCAAGCAGCAGCAGCAGCAGCAGCCGCATCTATCCGACGATCTCGACAACAGCGACGAGGAGGAGGAGCAGGAGGAGGAGGATCCGAGCGGCGGAGAGGACGATCGCGCCGTCCAGAAGAAGAAGAGGAAGGCGGACAAGGAGCGGCAGCGCGCGACGGCGGAGAAGTACCGCGCCAACAACATGCAGGAGGTGCTGGAAGAGTTCTTCCAGCAGCAGCAGCGGATGGAGGAGCAGTGGCGGGAGGTGTTCGAGCGGCGCGATCGCGAGCGCCGGGATCGCGAGGCGGAGTGGCGGCAGAGGATGGAGCGGCTCGAGGCGGAGAGGAGGGCGCGCGAGCACGAGTGGTGGGAGCGCGAGGAGGTGAGGCGGGCGCAGGACGAGCTGAGGTCGCAGAAGAGGGAGGAGCTCCTCACGGCCCTCGTCATGAGAGTTGCTCAGGAGCCCTAATATTCTTGGGATATTCTACGCACAGGATATTCACTTTTTTGAAAATAGATGCTTTCTCGTGGCCGATTCCTACAGATCTTATTCCCGCAAAACGTTCTCGCTCGATCGCTCTATAGCTATTCGATCACTCTATACCAATTCGATCATCACTGGCCCTTGCTCTTCTTCTTCCTCTTCTTCGCGGAGGTAGCAGCGGCATCTCCAGCGGCTTCAGCGGTGTCCTCCTCCTTGGGCTTCGCTCGCTTCTTGGAGCTTCCAGCCTCCTCGGCCATCATGGAGCTCTCGGCCTCGCCATCGCCATCGCCATGGCCCTGCGCCGCGCCTACATCCTCGCCCTTGGGTTCCTCGACCTTCTTGGAGCTTCCGGCCTCGCCATCGCCATCGCCGTGGCCCTGCGCTGCGCCTCCATCCTCGCTCGCCGCCACCACCTTGCTTTTCTTCTTTCTCTTCTTGGCCTTGGTGGCGAGATCCCCCTCCGGAACAGCGACGGCAGCGGCGGGAAGAGCAGGAACAGCCACCGCGGGAGGTGGAGGAGGCGGAGGAGCATTTGCGTCAACTTCCATCCCGGCATCCTTGTTCTCGTCCCCTGTATTTGTGTTCTTGTTCTTCTTGTTTTTCTTCCTCCTTGAAGCAGGGGCGGCGGCAGCGGCAGCGGCCTCCTCCTCTGGAGGCACCAAGGAAGTCACAGTCTTCGTCTTCGACTCCACCACCACCGTCGACACCGTCTCCGTCTGATTGTTCTTGTTCACCTTCGACTCCACCACCGCCGCCGCCGACAGCGTCTCCTTCTTGTGCCTGTTCTTCCTCTTGCTCTTCTTGCCACCGGCACTGGCAGCGGCGACGGCGGCACTGGCGGTGGCGTCGCCGTTGTTGGTCGCCTCCTCGCCACTGATCTTTTCCTCCACGATCCTCTCCTCGCCGCCACTCTCTCCACCATCCTTCTCGCTCTCCGGCTCCGGCTCTCTGCAAGAAACGAAGGGGAAAGAAATCCTTGACGTACACAAGAGCATACCTTTCCCGGGCTATCAGATGCAGCGCGGCTTTCAGCTCGTCATCCAAGTCGCCTTCCTCCTAGACAGGCGATTCACCTTCAATGCAAAGAAAACAATTTCCCACTGCTTTCGTTACCAGATCCCTTCGGAAAGCCAAGAGCGTGTTGTCGAAGCGGCCGGCGCGGCCCCGCAGCCAGGCGACGAGATCCACCGCCGCCATCGCGAAGCTCCTGCCCTAGCACAATCGTGATGTTTAAGCCCTAACCAAAACCCTGGTAATATTGGCAAATAAGTTGTTAATCCATAACATAACTTTCGGAGAGCAAGACTAGGGAGAAAAAGCGTGCGAGTAGCAAAATCTATCCCGTAGTCTACGGTTTTGTAACAGTGAGGTTTCATCTTTTTGAGTTCTTGAGTTGGATAAGTCGTGAAAGAATTAAATATAAAGATTCTTCTCGGGTTTTGGGTTTCGGTGGCTCTTTTTTTATTTAGCAGGTAATCAAACGTAGGAAGAGCTCACCTGCAAAAGGAAAACCAGATAAAAAAGGGGAAAGAAACAAGACAAGATGGAGAATGAGAACAGACAAATCATAGCTCACGATGAATGACTTCCTCCGCGGCAGACAACCAGACCCAAGAAAGATGGCCTGGTCACGAATCTCAAATTAGGATGAAAGAAAGCTCATTCCTGCACGGCCATTAAGTTTTAGAAGTGCTCAAAATGTTGACAATGTATGCCCGTTTTGGGCATCTTGAAGTTGTTTGATTCTTTGCCCAATACAAAGCTTTGCTGAAGTGTAAAATAGAAATAGATCACATTTGTTACCTTGGAAGTAACCAAGATGATACACCCGCCTCATGGCCAGCGCAAAAAGATAGCGGCCTCAGTTCTTAGCCTCTGTGTAAATGTTCATGTACTTGTTGAGGTCAAAGCTTGATCTCGAGGAGCCCTAAAGTTCTCAATGCCTTTTTGAGAATATAACATTCAACAACACTTATTTTTTGTGAGTATATCCGGAACGAATTTGGTCAAAAAACAAAGCGTCGTAAATCAGCTGAGCTTTTTATCATTAATCAGGTTTTTTGTTATAACAAAATATAAATATTAACTTCTTATTACTGTATAGCCAAGACATATAATGTAGTAAGTTGTAATTTAAATATCAAAAGATTATGATTTTATCATTTGGGCACGCCTCAAAGCCCGAAGTGCTGTGGCTGTGATATCCCCTGCCGCCTCGATCTTAAAGAACGAAGGACTTGACAAACCCTAAGAGGACTTGCTCTTCCTTGGCAAGAAAGAAAGAAGAATGGATGGAACGAGAGCGCTGTCTTGCGCAAATGCGGGGCACCTCTGCCTTGTCCCAGGCGATCAAGATCCATTCCTCCATGAGAGTGCCCGCCGGCGATGTCTTCCTCTCGAACCGGCTCATCGAGATGTATGGCAATTGCGGCAGCGTGAAGCACGCGAGGGCGATCTTCGACGAGATGCGCGACCGCAGGAACGATTTCTCCTGGACATCTATGTTCCTGGCGTGCACGGGCAACGGCGAGGTGGAAGACGCGAGAGAGCTCCTGGATCAAATGCCAGGCCAGAAGAACATCATCCTCTGGACAGCGCTGATCGTTGCGTATGGCAGCAAGGGGCGAACGGAAGAAGCCAAGGCCCTGTTTGATCAGATGCCACAGTGGGATCTTGTTTCCTGGAACGCCATCCTGGCAGCATTTGCCCAAACTAGAGATTTGCAAGAAACAAGAGGGCTTTTCGATGCCATGCCGGAACGCAACGTTGTGTCCTGGACGGCGATGCTGGATTGCCTATCGCATAGGCCGGAAACCGCAACACTAGTTTTTCATATGATGCCAGAGAGGGATCTTGTGGCGTGGAATGCCATGCTTTCAGCATATGCCCAATCTGGGCATATGTACGAGGCTACACAAGTGTTTGCCAAGATGCCCGAAAGAAACATTGTAACTTGGACGCTGATGTTAGATGCTTTTCTGCAAGATTCGAAGCTCGTGGAGGCTGAACTTCTTTTCAAAAAGATGCCAGAGATCAACCTTGTATCAGTAACCACAATGTTGACAGCATATGCCCGTTTGGGGCATCTTGACGACGCTCGAAAGTTGTTTGATTCTTTGCCGGTGTTGAGCGTTATTGCTTGGAACTCTCTTCTAGTTGCTCATGCGGAAAGGGGAGAGGTGGAAGAAGCAAAGCTTGTGTTTGATTCTATGCCCGAGAGGGATTTGATCTGCTGGAGCTCGATGGCGGCGGCGTATGCTCGAAGTGGCGATATCTCCAGCGCGAGGGCGGTGTTTGACTCAATGCCGCAGCGGGATCTCATCGCCTGGACAGCGATACTAGTTGCCCACGCCGAGAATTGCCGCGACCTAGAGCAATCCAAGCTCCTGTTCGATGTGATGCCGGAGAGAGACCTTGTTGCGTGGAATGCAATGCTGGGTGCATATGGCAATGTCGATTCTGGAGGAAAACTCGGCGAGGCTCTAGCAATATTCGTGGAGATGCCCGAGAAAGATCTTGTCTCTTGGAACACGTTGCTGGGGGCGTATGCCCGGATCGGGCATATCGCCGCTGCCAAGCGAGTGTTCGCCACCATGCCCGAGAGAAATGTCGTGTCTTGGAGCTCCCTGCTCGCTGCTCACACCCAAAACTCTTGCCAGTCCATCGAGATCTTCGACACGTTTGGCGAGCTCAAGCTTGTGGACCACCCTGATCAAGTGTGCTTCACGCTCGCGCTCATCGCGTGTAGTCGCCTGGGAGAGCTCCAATCGGCCATGCGGTTCTTCGCGTCCTCCATCGCTGACTATGGGATTGAGGCTACAAAGCAGCATTACTGCTGCCTGGCCGATGTGCTCGCACGAGCCGGGCATTTGCGCCAGGCCCAAGATCTCCTCCATGCCATGCCATTCGTTCCAAGCTCGGTGGAGTGGCTGTGCTTGCTCGCTGCGTGTAAGAACCGGCGTGAGATCACGGACTTGCAAGCACAAAGATTTTTCCCCGCGGACCATGGAGCAGCATTGGCTCTCGTCGCGAACGCGTATTGTCGATTGTCCAGGCCATCAAAGGTGGGATTGTGAGTGAAAGAGCTTTCTGGAAAGATAGGTTTTTCCATCTCATTCATTGGGCTTCTGGGCGGGCTTTTTGCCTGGTTTTTAAATGATCAAGTGAGTCTGGATGCTGTGGCCGGCCCTCTACTCTTTTCTTCTGTTCGCTCGATCCAGAATGCTGTGAGAGATCCGAGAGTCTTAGCGACAGTGATTCCCATCTCCTCGGTGGGCTTGAACCATTCCCTTTTCGTTTCGAAAGAGGTTAATTTTTTTTCTCTTTTGTTTTCTTTCTGGATAATTTTGATAGTCTTTCTTATTGGTAAGCGTTGAAGGGTTTCTGGTGGACGAGTCAAGGCAGGTCTCCAAAGCAAAGGCTTTTGAAGAAGTGAATATCAAGGTAATCCAGCTCCTCTAGTGAAATCACTAAAGTGATCTTGATAAGGCACATAATTTGTAATACCCTTGGAGTTAACATTTAAGGATTTCAATTTTCCTCTCTCCTTCAATTAGGGTTTCATTGTAAACTTTGGTGATTCAAAATAGACTTTTTTAATTAAAAACTTTAGTTTTAAGTTTCCATTTTCTAAAAAATAAATTGTGAGTGCTTGGAATATAGAAAGGGAATACAGAAAATATGCATATCAATTAACCCAAAAACCTTAGCTTATATACAGGAGTCAGTGGTCTAGATTGAAACCAATCTGACGGCTACCAAAATCCCATTACACTAATATTAGTATATAGCATCGTAGCCGTACACTTAGCCTTCACATCATCCCCTCCTTTCGGAATAATGGAAGATCATCAGGGTTCTCTCGTAGACGGGCTGGGATCTAGACGAACATTAAGAGGAGGCATCAGCGAATCTGTAGATGGTATTAACTGCTCATGATCCCTTTGTATGAAGCGTTTTAACCGCTGCATATGCACAATCTTTAGAGGATCAACCTACTGGACATCATACCGAACTTCATAAACTTGTGGTCCAACTTGCCGCAACATGCAATACGGTCCTTTCCATTGCACAAGGAGCCCCTTAGATAAACCACGTACCATAAGATGGGGAAAATGGACTAATACTAAATCATCCACTTTGTACTCCACAGGTGGACTATGATGGGAGTTGTAACGCTATTGTTATCCCACTTGTACTTGGCCTAAGTGTTTGGTAGACTCTGCTTGAACAAGTGGAAGAATGCTTGTCAAATACTGATCCCACGACCTAGCATTGGCAACTTGTGGCAATCACGAAAGCTCCGTTGGTAATATTGAATCATGACCATATAGGAGTTTATATAGTGAAGTACCAACAGAACTCTGCACCCCTGTGACATATGCAAACTGAAGAGATGGCAAATAACAATCCCAATCCGAATGCTGAAAGTTCATATACTTCGCAATCATCCTTTTGAATGTCCAAATGAGCTGTTCCACCAGACCGTCTGATTGTGGATGATAAGCACTTGTGAAAGTGTAGCGTATCCCCAATTGAGACGTCAAAACATGAAATGCCTCAGCCATAAATGCGGGACTATTATCTGAAAGAATCCACTAGCACCAACTTTCACCCAACGAGTCAAGTAGTCAGAAACAATAATAACATACTCATTGCTAGCAATCAACCATGGAAAAGGTCCCATAAAATCAAACGCCACCAACTCAAACAGACGGGAAACTGCAATTAACTCCAACCGTCCTTCTGTAGCCTGAGGGGGAGTATTACGAGCTTGGCACCAAACACAGCTATGCACATACCAGATAATAATCACATCGCATCTCTGGCCAATAGAAAGACCTGTGCAGCTTCTCGGTTACACAACGATGTCCCATATGCCCACTTAGAATAGGAGAATCATGATAGGCATCAAGAAACTGTGGAATAAAGATAAAGGGCACCACTAGCCGTAAATGATCATTAGGATTCGTCCCCACAAAATAAAGGTCATCTTCAAGGCGATATTGAGAATGTAAATGCCGGAAAGGCAAATCATCAGCAAGTGATGCAAGATTCTTAAACCCATCTCGAAGCCTTTGAATCTACGGCTCAATCTTTTGAGCCTCGTGAACCTCATCAAGAGAAGGTAAATCTTGCTCTGTGCCTTGTGGACACTGAACGTTAAGTACAACAACCGCTAACAACACAGAATCCTCGTCTAGAAAATCCACAAAGGCTAGAATAACAA